GTCAGATTAACACCATGGTTAATATCTCGAACAGTTTTGTATTTTTTTTTTAATACATAATCTACTTTAACGAAAACGGATGTAATTCTCTGTATTTTCTTATCATAGCATTCCCTATCCACAAATCAACTTTCTTATAAAACTCATGAAAATCTTCACGTGATATCGTTTTAGCTTTCTGTGAATATTTTTTTCTCAACATTCCATAGGTCTAAAGAACACAAAAGAAACTTTATTCTATTTATTATCTAAAGTTATTACTTTGTTATAAATGCTGGTCAATTGAGTTGAACTTCTTTCATTCAAGAAGTATTGACTGTCTGGCATTTTTGGCGGAACTAACGTTGCCACTTTGCGGATCATTGACAGGGGTTGGAAACATTGGTTGGCTCTTAAATAAGTCATGTTTAGAGCACATCAAAGATTGCTGGAGATAAAAAAATTTTTAGACTTGCAATTAATATTAAGCAAATTGGTATTATACCTGAAACACCATCAATACTTAGTTGGTCCATCCCGAAGGCGATGAACGTCCACCAGAACCTGTCAATTTCAACTTCATCTTGCTCCACACATGCTCGATAACATTCATATCAGGAGATCTGGCAGGCCATTCCATTCTTTCAATGTTATTCTTCCTCAAAAATTCTTGAACAAAACAAAACCATCTCCGAAGTTTTGAGCAAAGGGAACAACAATATCATTCATACACAAATCTCTACTTATTTACGGATCAGTGTAGATTTATTTTGTATGCATTAGACGGATGAATTTTAGAATGGCGGGAAATGAAAGGTAGAGAAGAGTGTATGGAGACACGAGTGGTGTTTGGTGGAGGCGGTGTGACTGTTTGGGATAGCGAATGGCAGAACAGATCTGATAGTTTTGGTTGGAGAGAGTATGAACGTGTTATGTTACAGAGAATATTAAAAATCAGTTACCGTAAATTTAGACACCCTGTAGAAATTGTTTATTTTTTCTCTGTATAGAATGTCTCAATGAAAGCCCCTAACTCTCGTATCCGACAAAATTGTGGCATTTTGTGAATAAGAAATCGTGCTATGATGAAATTTTTTGAAATTTTCTTTGGCGCGATCTTTTTGACATCAGTAGTGACTCCATGGACAGTGGTTTTTACACTTTGTTTTATTTTGGTTTGTTGATTTACTTTTCTATGCCATGGTGCATTTATAATAATTTTTATTTACTTTCAGGTAGATAAAATCGATGCTGGTAAGATAGAAGTGATTCTCGGAGAATTTTTAAAAGATGTGGAAGAAATTGACTTGAATCAAACAATGGCCACAAACACATCTGTTGTATTTAATATTGGTAAATGTGTTTTCCTCAGAAACAAAAAAAATATCCAAAGGGTAAGATTAAGTTTAATTTTATTTTTTGTGCATGGTAGTCAATGCTTTGTTACAAACTGGTCAATAAAAAGTTCAGCAAAGACAATTTTTTTGCAGTATTTTCAATCGTGTGATTTGAGACTTTTTTTTGTGTGGTTTGCACCATGCAAAATACCATTTGTTCCAGATTACACAAAAGAATACTTTTTTTTTTGAATTTGAATATTCATAATATATAGGGTATAAAATAAAGTATTGCAAAAATTGCAACATTTTAATAGTCTGCCATTTAGTTAAAACAAAATATTTAATCTCCCATTATGGACGGCAAATGAGTTAATATCAATTTCTCCAGATGCTACTTTTTTTATTAACTGCCATTGTACAAATATTTGATATTCTATGTAATCTTGAAAATGTGGTTTTCATGCTACAAATTTTTTTTTGCTTTTTTTTTAACTTAACGAAATCATAATTAAATAACTATTAATATATTTGGTGCAGCAGCTAGCTGATCAGTGATCATCTTTTTTCATACTTTGAGTGAATGATCTCTTTACTTAAATAAAAAATGGTTTTATATTTTCAAACATAAAAATATAACTGACGAACGAAAAACTTTAAAGGCAACCACCTGACGAACAATGACAACACAAGTTTAGCAATTACGTTGCAAGAAAATTTCATAATGTATATACACATATCTCCTGTTTTACACGCATGATTGGTGGCTTTCTAACTCGCTTTTTAATGTATGATTACTCAGTCCCTGCTACTGATAACATTTCAAATTCGGACAATGTAACTAAACGCACATTGAACATGGGCATAGCTGCATTATGAACTATATTATGCACTGTATTATGTTACATACATAACATTGTTTGGTTGTGTAAGGCCTTAGACGGGCGCCTAGGCCTTAACGTCTCTGATGCAGATATGGTTTATTGTAAATTAATTTATGCTTATACTTACAGCACATTCTTCAAAACTGGTAGCAGTCCAGATGTGGGCTATTGTGAAATCATTACTCCGAAAATGGAATTGGCATTAAACTTTTTTAAAAGGCGTTCAAGATGTAGATACAACTGATGTGACATTTAAGTATTTGAATATACTTAAGGATAAAATAAGAAACGGTAACACCAAAACTACATTGGGGATGGCGATACCTGTTATTATATATAAATGTAATTTTTGTAATGTAAGCTTTAAAAGCGACAAGGAAATTATAGATCACTTGGAACAGTTGCACAAAATGGATCCCAACGTATTGTGTATTAAATGTAAAAAATCATTTACGGTTAGCCATTTGACAAGTGTACGTTGGAAACATGTCTGCAATAATAATGCAAGTACATATCCAAATAGGCAACCCATTGTTGTTAAGTAGAAATGTTTACATTTTCTTGTTGGCAACATAAAGGATATTATTGTTATTTGGAAATGTGTTAATTTTTAAACTCACTAACTGTTACGTAGAGGGTCATAACGCAAAAATGTTGAATTGTGCTGTAACTTTGTTGCCTTTGAAGATAGTGAAAACATTTTAATTAATCCATTAAATTCTTAATAAGGAACCCAATAGGCTAGTTGACTAAATTTGAAAAATTGGTTTATACTTTACCTTAATATCTGATCTATACCAAAAAAGTATTATTTAAATAAAAAAACACTATTTACATTATGTATTTTGCGTTTTCAAAAACCAGTTCAAATTTACTTAAAAAACGCTCAAAACTGTCATGGCGTCTTGAATGACGTCACGCCGTGCAAAACAATCATTTTTGTGTATGGCAGTTGTTAGTTAACTTTAAAAAATGAATTCTTCGTATTACAAGTACTGTATAGTGCCCCAGTGTAAAAGTACAAATATAAAAACGCCAAACAAATTATTTATTTATGTTCCTAACAATGAACAAATACGGAAAAAGTGGCTAAAACTTGCAAGGAGGGATGATGTTCATAGTTTATCAACAAATTCAAGAATGTATTTTTGTGCAGATCATTTTGATGTAAATTTCACACAACACAATCTATGTATTTCTAAGTCTAAAGCGAAACTGACGAATTTGGCAAAATAAGTTTATATTATTAGTTATTTAGCACTTGTAACTTCGTAAATCTAACCTCAAAAGCAACACGTATGTCAAAACAATAGGTTACAAAACTGAAATATTACTATGTAAACATATAATATAATGTTTTACTCTTGTGTATATACTTACATCGAAGTTTTAACATTGCCGAATTCCGATGAGCAAAAGTCACTGTTTGACACGAAAAAATCTGCCAAGCATAACGGCGTCAACTTTGGGTAAATTATTACTATTTACTTTGCTAAATCCTGATTCCATGGCGAATTATACTCGTCTTTCAAACTATAACTGCAAATTAACTTGACAAAAATTGTTAATTCACCAACAATTTATGAAATAACCTGCTTCCTTCTACTAAAATGTCAACAACACTAATGGTGTTTCGCACGGCGTGACGTCACACTTTCTGATTGGTGTTTGCTGTCACGCGACTGAATGCCTAATTTTGCTGAATTTATTTTCTAAAAAATAAGAATAACCTTTATTTTTTATAACTAATTTTGTGTTTTGTTGTCTACATATCATGATTAATCATTAGAAACTCTTATCCATCTGATTTATTCTAGATGGACAAAAGCCTATTCTTTTGTAAAAAAAAACAATTTAACTTTGGGCGAGTTCAGACGACGTCAGCAGTTGAAATGTAGCACAAATCTGCTTAGTTACGATGCATCTCAGCATTAACGAAATCACTGAACGGGTTGTTTAACTGAATCGTATACTTAATTTAGTTAACCTAAATTATGCTCATCCTTGGCGACAAACTTGGTTTTGGAAATCACAATTTTCAAATCACATGTAATTAACTTAACCTACAAATCAAACCAACGTGCTCACGCCTGCATACACCGTACCAAGAACGAGAACAGATAGATCACTGCGCAAGTCACATCATCATATGATGGTTAACAACAAAGTTTATTTACGCTTAGCAAAATGATCATCTGCTGACTTGCATCGCAGAAACAGCGCTTCGTTCAGGCGACATCGCTGACTCAGTAACTCAACTGCTGAGGTCGACTGAACTCGCCCTTTATGTAGATATCGTTATAACTTGATTTTTTTTAATTGTTTAAGCAATACCTCATGAATACATCCTGTCTTCTAATATGTAAACATTTCGAAAAATTTTAAGTCACTATGATAAGAAATGTGTGGTGAAAATATTATCTAAATATAATTACTTAAGTGTCTTATTTTAAATTCTAAACCCCTTAGTTTTTTACATAATATATAATAATAATGAATCATTCTTTATTAAATTGTAGGAGAACTAAAAATGCTTTGACGCAGCCGGGGCTTGAACCAGGGACCTTTGGCTTTCCGGGCCAATGCTCCTCCAACTGAGCTACCGCGCGTCCACACCTTAATTCTCCTATTCGGGGGTACCGTTCTTTACATAATTTACTACAGCTCGGCCATACCTCACAACACAACACAGCCGTCCTCGGCTGACGGCCATAATCCGACACCTTAAACATAATTCATAAAGTGGACTGTGCTGTCAAGCGAATTCACCATCCCACTTCTGAATCTGTAGGAGAACTAAAAATGCAGCCGGGGCTTGAACCCGGGACCTTTGGCTTTCCGGGCCAATGCTCTTCCAACTGAGCTACCGCGCGTCCACACCTTAATTCTTCTATTCGGGGTACCAAACAAAAAGTACATGTATGAGTAATAGGAGCGGCGATATTCAACAGAGTTGCTTTTCCAAATAATCATTTCAGAAAATGACAAAATAAATTCATGACATAATATACTCACTAACAAATCTTACCCCCTTATTCTGTAATTTTTCTTTTAACAAATCTTACCCCCTTAATGAAGTGATAAACTGAATGAGAGGAAGTACAGGGTGATCTGCCATAAATTCACCCCCCTGTAACTTCGTCATTTATGAACGGATTCAAAAATTTCAAAAACCGGATTATATGATTTTTTTTTTAAAGATTTTAACATGTCTGCGATAACGTATTGTTTCAATAAAATAAATATCAAAGCCTACTTGAGTTCATATTATTGTTGTGCGGGCGATTTTATGTAATAAAATAAAATAATTATTTGGCAAATATCTCCAAAACAAAAAAAAATAAATATATGCATATTTTTGAAATACAAAAAAAACGACTAGTCTGATTTTCAAACAAAATATTGTGTGTCCCATTAAAAACAAAATTGTTTATATTCGTAGCGCTTCTAATTTGGGAGATACAAAGTTTTTAAAGCAACGTCGCATGCGGCCCGAGCTACGTCGTCATAGTAACGGGAAATGTCTACCAAGACGATTGGAAACCTAGTGGGCACATCTTACAGCTTAAAGCGGCGAAATCGCTGTTGGGCTATATCTCCATTTGTCTATTCATAGTATAATGGTCTTTTTTTTCCTTCCTGGGAGCCGTCTGTAAATACTCCGGTTAGTACTGCAGCCTCTTGGGCTTATTGTGTCATTTCTCCCATTTAATTTACGTCGCCCATTCCAGCAGCTGGGTCCCTTTTACCAGTTTGTATAGTTTCCCTCTTGGTTGAGTGATGTAGTCTTCTGGACTAAGTTTGGGTTGTCTATATACATCTTGTCTCTTGCGATCCAAAGTTTCGCAGTAGCACAGTACATGTTGAGCCGTCTCTGTTTCCCGATTGCAGAGTCTGCATTTTAGGTCACCGTTGTACAGCCCCATTCTGTGTAGGTGTCCTTTCAGGGCATAGTGTCCTGTCAGGAGACCCACAACTACTTTTATCTGTTTCCTGCTCATTAGTAGCAGTTCTTTAGTTTTTTCCCGGCTTGTTTCTTTAATAAACATTCTTCCGTGTCGTATGCTGGTTATACGGTTCCAGTGTATACCATGTTGGTTTCTTATCCATTCTTTTGTTTGACCCCCTGCTGTATTCTTTGATACTCCCAGGGCCGGTTCTGGACCAATAAATGGAGTGGACGATTCTTTCCTCGCTAGCTCATCAGCTTTTTCGTTGCCTTGAATTTTGGAGTGTCCTGGCACCCACAGCAGGGCAACTCTATTGTGGTCTGCCAGATTTTCCAGTTCTTTTTGGCATTCCCATACCAGCCTTGACGTTACCTTCGGGTTTGTTAGTGCCTTCAGGGCCGCTTGGCTGTCCGAAAATATGTTGATCCGCTTATTCACATAAGCCCTCGTTGTATTTTCTTTTGCACAATGCAATATTGCATATACCTCTGCCTGAAATACAGAGGTGTATTGTCCGGGTGAAATGCTATACTGTGCATTTTCAGTTTCACTGTATATGCCAGCACCAGTTCCTTGCTGAGTCTTAGATCCGTCTGTATACCAGATAATTGTTTCAGCTTCATTCCTGCTGTTGTTTTTTGTCCATTCGTTTCGGTCAGTTATTTCCAAAATAAATTTCTTGTCATGTGTGAATTTAGGAGCCATGTGGTCTTTCCATAATGGTCTTTGATACCAGGACTTGCTGAATTGCTTTCATTTTCAGAATAACTCATACAATATTCAAAATAATAACAACCTTTTTTAAATAATATAACAGGAACAACTTTACTAAGGATTTAGGTGATAAGAACTATTCTGCCATTGGTTTACAAAAATGGGGTGGAGCATAACACAATGACAAGTAAATAGGTTTAATTAATTAAACCCCCAGACTCATATGCTACCAATTAAATAAAATAATTGTGTTGTCAGCGAATAATCTTCAGATTACTTTAGCCCAGTATGCCATGATATAGGATTGCGTGCATTATTTTTTGGGTTTTAAAGTGTTTTCAACCACATTTTTGTGAAAAAATAATGCATTCTGCTGTTTGCTACCTGTAATGCAAAAATCGCTCCAAAAAAATATAATCCAAATATAAAATTTCCCTTTCCCAACCCAAAGTGTATGTAAACAATGACTGCATACCTTTAAAACAGACGTTAAAGTTAATATAAAATACGCCGATTTTGTTATTTGCATTTTGGTAAAGAAACCTATGAAAGGAATCTAAAAAATATCTGTTTTAAATCCACAAGTCATACTTTTTAAAGCCGGAAATTTATTGTCTAATTGGCTATTTATTTGTCTACTTGTCTACCTATTTAAAAAACTGCAAATAAAACCAAAAATAACTATATAAATGTTGACATTTTTTTATTTAGAAAACAAAATTAAAAAGTATAGGTAGGTATTCAAAGTGGTAAAAAAAAAGCTTCAAAGCTTTTTTTATCAATCAACAGTTTAATTAAAAATAATTATTACTTTACCCAACACAGAAAACCTCGTAAATATTTACAAATTTTTTGCTTCACTAGCCGTTTATCAAAATACTGTAACATAGGTTTTTTAAAAGAAATAAAAAGGCACATTATTTATACCTATGTTACGGCTAGAGCGAGAAATTTCTCGAATTGGCCAGTTAATATAAATGATTTGACGTGTAGTTTTTGGACGTAGAAAGTTGAATATTCCATCTTAAAAAAAAAACATCCAAATGCCCGCCGCCCCGAGGCCTCTTTGATATATTTCTATAAAGAAATACTCAACTTTCTAACTTCCATTTTACACGTTAAAACGTCTAATTTATAAGCCATCAGCTATTTCGCGAATTAGCTAATTTCTTGCTTTAATCGTAACATACATTGCAATATGTTTTAGATTTTTTATAATGTATGATTATATATTAGTTGCCATAAATATCTATAAAGTGTCATTTATATAGAAAGTGGAAATAAAGAACATTACATTACAAAAATGTCTTTGAAAAGTTAAAAGTGAGTGTTATCAAATAATTTTGGTAGTACAGTGTAACTCAATACACACGATATTCCGATCCTCCAATAATCCAAATCAATGGTTAACCCCAGTAGACCGAACAACATAAATTCAATAATCTGACCTAAAGAAAAATTTAGGATGGCCAACACAAATGTTGCATTTTTGTTTATGCACATGCCTATACTCTGATCGGAGTAGCTTGGCGATTTTCGCGTGTGCCGGCGACTCCGATCAGAGTGCCTGTCTTGACTACAGTGGCGGCTGGTGGATTTTTAAATGTCTATATTTCGGTTATAAAAGCTGGGACCCAAATTATATTTTATGTCGTGACTGTTTGCCACACATTAGAATGTTGCTTGGGCAAAAATAAAGTCAGGCAACATTTGCGAAATATTTTTTTCAAAATGGCCTTTGACCCTCCAGCTATCTCCAAAACCAATCGCAAGATTTTCGTGTAATATTTTTTTTGTAATCAAGGGACAAATACAAGAACCCGTTTTTTTTGCTTTTTTAGAAAATTTAAATTTTCTTCAAAGTTATAGCATTTTAAAATTTCAGAAATAGAAATCCCCTATTCATGTAAAATTTACTTGTGTATAACTATAAAAGTTATTGATATTCTGTAAAAAATAAAAAAACGGGTTCTTGTATTTGTCCATTGATTACGAAAAAAAATATTACACGAAAATCTTGCGATTGGTTTTGGAGATAGCTGGAGGGTCAAAGGCCATTTTGAAAAAAATATTTCGCAAATGTTGCCTGACTTTTAATTGCCCAAGTGACATTCTATATAAGCCTAATAGTCACGACTTAAAATATAATTTGGGCCCCAGCTTTTATAACCGAAATATAGACATTTGAAAATCCACCAGCCGCCACTGCTTGACTACATCTACCGTTGTATGTGAAAAAATTAAGTTTGTCTTCTGGCGGCGCACATAAACTATAGATGCAACAAAAGTGTTAAATAATGGGGCGTTATATGTCTCATGTAATATACCGGTAATAATGTACCGACAGTAATGTTCAAGAAAAAATATAACAGAACCAACAGATCATCCAGATCCTGATTCTCCATCATCCTTAGTACACATATGTTGCCATCGGTTTTCTGTTAGTGTGGTGACATTCAACTGTGACTTACATTTGAAACATAAAATAGGCTGTTCCATACAATGTTTTTGTTTCAAATGATTCAGAATATCTGATTTAGTCATAAAATATCTTTTGCAGAATGTGCAATTATACTGGATTTTTGGGCAAATACTACGAATAAGTGGTATATTGGCGGTAGTACTAATCTCTTGTAGCAATTGAAATGAAGTATCCTTGTTTTCTTCCATTACTGCATTAAATTCAAAAAGTGACAGTTTTATTCTAGGCGTAATAGATTCGGCAAAACACACTGCTTGATTACTAAAACAAAACATATTTTGTATATATTTTAAATTAGATGATAAAAATAATAAAATACTTCTATGTTAAAAATAAATCATAAAGATTGCCTAATATTAAACAAGTTATAGTAGAATTCAAATAAAAGTAAAACATTTCTACAAAAGCCTGTTGACTTGAATTTTTGCTAAGTTTTTTACTTGTATGCCACATGACGCTCAAGTCGTTGGTTGTGGGCTAACGCTAATAATTGCGAAGGATCCGTTCAATGTCGTGTTAGCACAAAAGCTTCAGATGGCGCTAGCAAAATTTTGTTATGTTAACCAATATTTCAAATTAAAACATGATATGTGTTCTGATTTAAATTACATAAATATAATAAAAAGGATGGATAATTTATTTAACCTTAAAAAAGGTGATTATTTACTACTAATATACAACTTTTTGTTCTATGAAATAAAGCTCAAAAAGGTGCAATAAAGTTATTTTATATCT